TTCTGAAGAAATAGCTGGGGGAAGAAACCTAGAGTTAAGTTTCAAAAGGACAATAAAATAAACCTGAATATCATAAAAGGATCTTAAAAAAAAATATGTAGCAGTCACAGCCTCCTCCAAACCAGAACAAAAGGCACCTATTCATAATTGCTTTAAAGTTTTTGGCAAATTGAAGGGGAGGAATTGTTCTGAGGTCAAAGCACCTCCAAAAAATGGAACTCTGAAGACAATCTGACAGAAACTGTGTTATCAAAGGGCACTGGGGTCTTTGCACCGGTTTTGCAAAATTATTATTTTTTATTATCATTTTATTAATGTTTGTCTTGCCTTTTCTCCAGCCCTGTGACTTAGGGCAGCTTACAAAAATTAGAAAAGATACAGACGAATCTACACCACACACACAGCCAAAAAAACTTTCTTTAAAAAAACCACTCAAACTACCTTCTCCGGACTTATATCTCCATGCACCTTGGAGCTAGAAATTATCCACCCTCCCCCCCAAAAAAAGCCATTGGCAATTTCCTCTGTTCCCCCTTTATTTAATTTTCTGATTTTCCGTTCTGATTTCGGGTGGAATAGAAGTGGAACTAATAAATAACTGTCATGATCTTTATAGGGGAAGGACGAAGGTCATATTCATGTCCCACAGTTGTAGCACTTTGACTATAGCACTGCAGGCTATGGATCCTTGGGACCTGTTGTTTTTCCAAGGGGTATTTAGAATTCTCAGCAATTCTAGTCCCCCCCTCCACACTGCAAATCCCAGGACTCTGTAGGATGCAGCCATGACAGTTCAAGTGGTACCAAAGTGTGATAATTATGTAATTGAAAGAGACCTAAGAGAGAGAGCTCCCTCTCTCTCGGGAGAGGAGAAGATCGGAAAAGGAAGGAAATATGTCAACTATCATTTAGGGTCTTGCTGTTGTTCTTGGGGAATGTAGAGGGACTGAGATGTCCTGAGTTTCTTTACTCTTTCCCCTCTTGTCCATGGCTTGGTTGTCATGGTAGTGGAGCATGTCACAATCCTTTGAGTCTGGCCTCCACCATCCAGAAGTCATAAGGTTTTGAAGTCCAAAGTTATCAGGAGGTCTCCAGCGTTTCTCACCTTGTCCAGGCTTTCTTCTGGATGCCCTAGGACCCATCTTTGGAGATCTGAAGGTCCTTTAAGACCTACAACAGGGCCCTGGGCCCTCCCAGGTAAGTTCAAGCTCACAGAATTTCTTCCCATGCCACTCTCCAGACAGTACAAGGAGACACTCAGACTGGCATCTAGCACCTCAACTTGGTACCACCAAACAACCTCAAGGAACATCATTTCTAAGACAAACCATCCACTTCACGGACCTGCTTTGAGCGATTCCTCCATACGTTTCTAGCTCTCATGCTGGGCAAGATCATCTTTGGGCAAAATTGTGGAGTTTATGAAGCCCAGTGCCCAGTACGGATGGGATTCTGTGTAAATTTCCTTCTGGAAGGAAGCAACCAGTAATGCTAGCTATTTTCTTCCTCCCGCAAGAATGTCTTCGAAAACCGTTCTTGAAGACTATTTGCAGTTTGGCTCTTAGCGTGCACAAAATTTGCACATGATATTTTTGTGCCGAAACCAACCTTTTCTGCAAAAGGGAACAGGGGCTAGCATCTTACCTTGTAATGACAGAGCTGAATTCAATTAAACAGAAATTAAAATGAAACAAGTTAATCAGCAAAGACGAATGTATCTTCTCTTTACATTCAGAAGTTCTGTGCTCAAGGGGGGCATGTTAGAAGCAAGGGGACAGTAGTCTGGAGGTTAGGAATGGCCCTGCATCAGGAGTGTAACTCCAAGGGGGCAAAATGTGGGCATTGCTCACCCAAATAAAAATTCTGACACGCACCCCCTGATGATTTTTTTTCTTTGATTCCCAAATTTCTATCATTGCAGTCACTTAAAGCATTTAGAAAAACAGTTTAGGCCTCCTAAAAGGGTAGGCAAAGCGACCAAGGGAACGCGAACACAGCAAATCGAAGAGGTGTGGTCGTCATTTTGCAATATCTTACTCCCTGTGATGCTAGAAATTTGGGGACTGAAGGAAAGTTTTATCCAGGGGAGAGCAGAATTCTTATTTAGGGGGCAATGTCCTCACATGCCCTCCTTGCTGCACCCCGTTCCCACATTAGGATCAGGACCTCATAACCAGCTCCCTGGTTATGCCCCCCTCCAAGAGATTTGCAAAGTGACTTCTTTGGATGGCAACTCTTCCTCTAGACATGTTGGTGGAGGGATTTGGGGACATGGAATCCAGCAAAACAGTAACTTGGAGCAAGCTCTGGCTAATCCAGAGCAGAGCCCCTTTTTTCTCTTTCTCCTCTATTTGGCTCTCACACTTTGACCCGTTCCTCCTCTCTACATTTCCTGCAAAAACCATTAGGAAACCAGCAATGCCCAGATGCTGGGTGCTGTGCCAAGGGAAGGGGCAAACGTTGAAACCAAGGCAATGTCTCTGGAACGGATGGAAGCCAGGCCAAGCAGTCCAATGCTCACTGGAGCGTGAGTTGAAGAAGAGGCTTTGAGGGCACATGTTATGCCCATCGAACAAAGAGGCCTTTCTCTCTGGGCAAGGATGCAGAATGAGCAACTTGGGCTACGAACATGGATGGCGAGCCACGGGGGAAGGGGGAAGCAGCCGCTTTGCATGCAAAAGGTGCTGGGTTCAATTCCTGGCCTTCCCAGGGAAGGATGGGAAAGGCTCCTGTCTGAAAACCTTGGAGAGCTGTTGCTGGACAACTCCAAGCAATGCAAACCCAAGCCTCATTCAAATTGCTCCTATGCAACTTCCTAAAAGCCAACATAATGGAACTGGGATATTCAGAGGCAGTCTAAAAGCCAGTGTGACGTAGTGGTTTAAGTGTTGGACTACGACTCTGGAGACCAGGTTTCAAATCCCGGCTTGGCCATGTAAATCCACTGGCTGACCTTGTACAAGTCACATTCTCTCAGCCTCAGGGCAAAGCAATAGCAAACCTCCTTTAAACAGATCTTGCCAAGAAACCCCCATGGTAGGGTTGCCATAAGTTGGGAACTACTTGAAGGCACACAACAACAACTAAAAGCCAATGTAATGAAGCTTTCATATTCAGAATCAGTCTAAAAGCCAACTTCCATATTCAGGGGCAGTCTACCACCACCACCACCCAGCCAAATGCTGGAGGGAGCCTGCAAGGGAATAGCAATTGGGATGTGCATCTATGCTCTGAAATTACCGCCGCTGTCTGATAGCACTTGAAATGTCATGGTTCCATGCAATGGAATCTTGGGAGTTCTAGTTCCACTACCTTTTCAACTACCTTACCAAAGAAGTCTTGCAGGTAATTCTAAGTACCTCCCCCAAAGTACAAATCCTGGGATTCTGCAGCAGAGAGCCATAGCTGTTAAAGTGGGACTCAGCTGCTGAAGTGTGCGTTAACACCAAACGTTGGAGATTAAAAACTGGACCGGATCATCATCCCTTGGTCTGATCCAGAAGAAGTCAAATGTCCACAGAACTTTTTTCTTCTTCTTTTTTTAAAGCTTGCAGAAAAGGACCCTTGCGGGGCTGTTCTGTAAAAGGAAGATAGACAAGTGTTTGAAACAATGAATGAAAAAGAAACAGAGAGGGGGAAAGGCTTGCCTTCCTTGATCCATTTCCTTGGCCTCTCTTTTGCTAAGAGGTCTCCTACCCCTCACTCTTGGCTTCCTCACCCTTTCAGATCCAGCTCTCCAGCCTGGTTTGAGCCAGCTCTGGAC